CATGTGCTATAGCACCGTGCACTCGATGTCGATGGAGTACAATCCATCGGTGCTTGCCGCTTCCGCACTTGCCGCTTCTTCTCTGCATGCATGAGGTCTTTCTCCCGCACTTCAGCAAGTGTCTTCGTGATGAGATCGCGCCATGCACGCCGATCAACCGCTTTTGATTCCCATGACCTGCAATCAAGATTAGAACGTGTGAGGCTCACTTTAATCATGTCATGGCAACGTAACTTTGGTTTCCACATGTGCCGCTTCTCCACACTCAGCTGATCGTATAAGAGTTGTTTCGGTATCCGAGTCGAATCCATACGCCACACATGACCGAGCCATCTCAGGTGTCGCAGTAAAAGTACGCAGTCCACTGCATACATCCCACTTCGGCGCAACACTTCCGTGTCCTCAACTCTGTCGCACCAACCAATGCGCAGAATCCGTTGCAGACACTGTTGATGGAACCGCTCGAGATATAGCACATCCCGCCGGTACCTCGTCCACGTTTCGTTACCGTACAGAAAAACAAACAGCACCATGTTTTTGTATTTCATCAGCTTCGTGCCAAAGGTAAGCTGATGATTGTTCCACACCCGGTACTCTGGCTTCCCGAATGCCGCCGCAGCCTTCGATGCACGGATACGTAGCTCACTGTGAAGCTGCTGGTGGGTCGACATCACACTCCCAAGGTAGCAGAAGCTTGACGTAGTTTCCAATACATCATCACAAATGCTGATTCGCGGCACCATTGAGGATTGAACCTACGGTGAAGGTTGAAAGAGACAGACAGATTTGCTTGTATTGATTGTGAGCCCGAATTTTGCCGCTGTCGAAGCCAGAGCCCTAGTCATGTGCTGCAACTCATCCGCGCTGTGTGCAAACAACGCACAGTCGTCAGCAAACAGCAACATACGGAGAGTTGTCTCACAGACTAGAGTTCTCGCACCGAAACGACGGATGTTCAGCAACCCACCATCAATATGGTGCTCCACACGAACACCGTAAGCACAAGCCGCATCAAAAGCACAGGACAACATTGCATGAAGATATATATTAAACAGAGCAGGAGCTAAGACACAGCCTTGCTTCACGCCAGAGACAACTGCAAATTCATCCGAGGTCTCTCCACTCAGCTGCACCCTCGTTCGCATACCACTGTGCAGACATTCAATTAAACTTACAAACTTACGCGGGCAACCAAACTTACCCAACACCAGCCACACTGCCTCGCGGTTCACCGTATCAAATGCTTTGGTGAAATCAACAAAAAAGCGAGCACAATGGCTGGTATATATATATATATATATATATATATATATATATATATATATATATATATATATATATATATATATACTGCGTCGCCACAATAGTGGCAAATTTGCAAATGACAAAAGCCATATAAAAGGAGACAAAATTCCAGTCAAAAAGCAGTGCTTATTTGCTTTAAGCTACAACAGCACATGGCCAGATGAGATGTGTAATTGAAGTGTGGCTGGAGTGCCTATGGGGCGCTAAGGCTGGTGGTGGTTAGATTCCGACAGATGGTCTACCCACTGCTGCTACTGTTGCGCCATTGGCTCATGTCCTGCACGCCTCCTCGCGGCGATCGCTGGTGGGAATTGGGTTACGCCCTTCTCCATGCTAAGATTTAGGACACCAATCCGCATGAGTCAGTGAACCGACTATGTGCTAGACCCGCTGCGTTTCTGGTGTACATTTAATTGAAGGCATTGGCTGAGGACCCGAGTCGTTTTCTTGTCCGGGATGGGCACCCTGCCAGTATTCTAATCCATCCTCTTCGGAGATTAGAAGGTGGTCGATGACCCACTTCCCTTAAAACCTAGCAATGGAAGACAACAGGTCGACGGGTTATAAGCTCACAGCTCGATTGGCGTATAGCACGAGCGCCACGCATTTACTCTGAGGGTGAGTGGGTACCTCCGGGTACTCATTGGCTTGCTACCGTCCGCCTCAAGCTAGGCAGTCCCTGGTCAAACTGATGCAAACCCGCCAAAACCCTCTGGCGTCTGGCCGTAGTCGCAGTTTCGTATGCTACTACGGTTGCAAAACATATAGCAATCGTTCCAGTGCCTCAAAGGCTGCGTATGACGGCCGTCAAACGGATCCCAATATGTCACTGCAATCACGTTCCCGAGCTGGACTTGCTCCCCACTGCGCTGTGGGTCAGGATATTGAGCCAAAGGTTTCGGGTGGATTCCTCCATGCAAACCACCGGAGCACAACCTCCACCTCGCGTGCGATTGTCCACCAATGCAAACCTATACATGCGCGCAAAGCACTCAATATTGGGTTCTGGAACGTGCACACACTACTGAACCGGAACTCCAGGGAACGCACCGAGCTACGAATTGCACTGGTCGTGATGGAACTGGCGAGCTACCACCTCGATAATGCGACGCTCAGTGAAACCCAACTTGTTTGGCAAGGTAGGTTTGTTTGAAGTAGGTACAGCCTACACGTTCTACTGGGTGGGCAACGCCGCCTCAGCACCACCTGAACATGAGGTCGGATATGAACTATCCGATCAGGTAAATGCCCAGCTGGTGAATGAAGCAAGTGGCATCAAGGCGCGACTGATGACTGTTCGCCTACGACTCGGAAGATGTAAGTTTGCCACTTTCATAAGCATGTACGGTCTGATCACGTGTTATCCTGATGACACGCGTGATCAATTCTGAACTCAGTAATCCTCCGTGATATGATCTGTGCCGAGGAGCGACCGACTATTTCTGCTGGGTGCTTTTAACGCGAGTGTTGGGCGTGATGCATCGGTGGGGCAGATATTTTCGGTCCGCATGGCATTGTTTCAGCGAATGCGAACAGTGACAGGCTGCTCTCACTGTGTGCTACTCACGGCTTGACGATCATGAGCACTCGGTTTGTACTGAGTGCGAGTGATGTAGCAACTTGGATACACCCACGGAGTGGTCACCCTCACCTGCTCGACTATGTCATCATAAGTCAGCGTGATATGTGTGAAGTGCGCATGACACTTGTACTGCGTGGAGCTGAGTGTGGCACAAGTTGTTGCGGACCAAACGGTACATATATTTTCGTAAATTTATGTATAGCACTCCTGCCGTGAAGCAGCGTAAATTTTACATTATCTCCCTCGGTACTGTGGCGAAACATCTTGATCTGGAGAATGCGCTTGCTGCACACCTGTGTGATGTGGACTGCATAGTCACAGTGGATGACCTGTGGCAAAACATAATGATAATATTTCTGCTGCTAATAACACTAATACTAATAATACTATATTTCCCGATTGTACGAGAAGCTGTCCCTAGATTGTGGACAGTCCATGGGTACAATAATTATCAGGCCCATGCATGAATGTAATATATAATATGATATCAAAATTAGTTGATATCACGTAACTTTTGTTGTTGCTGAATTCTTCATGCCATCTTTTATTGTTGATTATATATTCCTTGGTCCATGCTGAAGTAAATCGTGTGGTGATTCACTAGATGAAAAAATGGTCATTATTGAGCTCTGGTCAAGGAATTTGCCAAGCTGAGTGAGGAATGCTCTTGCATTTGTGTAAGACCTGATTGTGGCTGGTAGGCTATTCCACACGACAGCGTATCTAATGAGGAAGAACTTGGATGGGATAGCCGTCCTGGTTCTCGGCACACATAACGTACAGGTCTTGTTGCGTATATTCCGAGTGAAGTTATGTTGAATTTTAAGTGTACACAGATTGGAATATGTCTTTTGGTTTATGAGATTGTGTATCAGCATCAGGTTATGTTTCAGTCTTGGCAACCAAAGGGACTCGAGCTTAAGCTGCTGGCAGCTCTCCTGATAACTCAAGGTGATTGATGTACTAAACAAGCGCTTAGTGAATGATCTTTGCAGGTATTCTATAACTTTCCTGTCACCCATTTGCATGTTCCCATAGATGATGCTAAAGTATTCAAGGACAAGAAGTGCAATTATTTTGAAAAGCTCGAGGCTGGCAGGGGTTGTATAGATTTTATGTCAAATGTTAGCTACAGATTGTTTGGTACGTGCTATTTGATACTCAGCTTGGTCTGAGAAATTAAAGTTTGAAGATTATCGTATGCCTAGATCTCAGTTAGCTAGTTTCACACAGATACGTTCATTGTTCAGTTTAACAGACTCTTCAGGGATTAAACAGCCGTGTGATATAATGCATGGTTTACTATCTGAGAAAGTTATCATCCATGTATTGCACGATTTCTCAAGTGAATCGAGGTCTTCTTGAACGAACAGTATTGCGTTATTTAGTTCGTCTCGTCGAAATTTTTAAAAAATCTTTATGTCATAAGCGACCAAAAATGGCATGCCATGTCTTATGATATTGTTAAAATAAAGTAGAAGAAGCGAAGGACCGAGTACACTCCCTTTGATGACATCACTAGTGATTGGAAGTGTGGAGGAGTTATGATTACCCAGAATGACTACCTGGTAAGGCATATTTAGGTATGATGTCAACCAACCAAATAGTGGGTCTCTGATTCCAAACGGCTCGATTCATTTCAGTAGCCGCTTGTGGGGCACTCTGTTGAATGCTTTCTGCAAATCTAGGAACAGTATTATAACTGCATATTTTGAGTCCATGGCTTCTGTGATGTAATCCAGGTAGTGCAACTGACACGTTGTACAGGAACGTTTGTCGAGGAACCCATGCTGGGATTTGTTAAGTAGCCCATGACGATGGAGAAAGTTTACGCCTCCAATTTTTACTAATTTTTCGAGTAATCTAGCGATGACGGGAGTATGATGGATAGGTCGATTATTAGTGACGTGCTGTTTGGGCCCCCCTTTATGATGAAGAACAACAAACGGTGTTTTCCACTGATCCGGAACGTAGCTAGCTTCTAAAGACAAGGTGAACATGTTCAGCAAAAGCACTAGTATGTCAGGTCCACCAAGTTGAATAGCTCATGGTGGGATGCCGTCGGAGTCTGGTTCGAACAATGGTCTGGTGGACTTCATGGCCTGTTGTATGGTCAAGTTCAAGTTCAAGTTCAAGTTCAAGTGGGACTGGAACGATAGGATGAATCCCGTAAGTGTTCCTTCTTGAGCGGGTCGTCGATCCAGGAGTTGATAGGGGTGCTCCGACTTCTTGATGGGTCTAAAAGGAAAACACCCGAAAAACACCCTGGTCCACCAATTTAATGCCCACGTTCCTAACATTAGCTGTCCCAGCTGTGTCAGTTACGTGAAGTAAGTAAGAGAGGAAGGAGAATCGAAGGTAAGGGAGTAGGGGAAATCAGTTAAAAGAAGAGAATAATACCAATGACGAGGAAAAGCAAAGAAAATAGAATCGAAGTATGAAGATGGGAATTTGTCAGGAAAACGGAAAGGTTTCGTGTTGCCACCCAAGAGCATCTAGTTGACGCTCAAACCCCTTAACCGTAGCTTCCTTGACAACATTTTCAGGAAGCAGGTTCCAGCGCTCGATGACTCGACGCGATAAGCGTGTCTCCGCTCTAACTCGATCGGACCGCGGCTTGTCCAGCTTCATACAATGCCCGCGGAGACCAGATAATCTAGCAGGACTAAATAGCATGGACAAATCAGGGCCAACCTTCCCAGTCAAAATACGGTAGGTTAGGATTAGGTCCCCTCTAATCCTTCGATAGTGCATTGACTGCATTCCCAAACTAAGTAGGCGTTCGGGGTACGTTTGCCCTCGTAATCCCTTGACCAACCTAGTACCGACACGCAACACCCTTTCTAGTGCCATTTTGTCCCGGACAAGGCATGGTGGACAGGCCTGGACGCAATATTCTAGGTGGGGTCGCACAAACGCTGAGAAGAGCTTCACAAATACATCAGCGGTTAGGGTCCCAAAAGAACGACGGATAAACCACAACATCCGGAACCCTTTACTAGCCGCCTTCTTCCAGTTGTCTCCAGAGTGTAATGTGGAACAGTGGATGACACCTAGATCAACCTGATGAGTCACGTGAGGAAGTACAGTCCCATCGAGCACATAACTTGTGGAGGAATCAGACGCTCCGATACGCAGCACTGAACACTTTGCCCGGTTTATAGGCAGCAACCACAAGACAGACCATTCCCAGAGTTTATCCAGAGCCCGTTGAAGAGCCATAGGACCTCCAGGGATATCAACAATATTCCAGAGCTTTAGGTCATCAGCAAATAAAAGCGATTGTACCTCAAGCTCCTCCGGCAAGTCATTCACGTAGACTGAGAACAGCAGCGGACCTAGGACAGAGCCTTGCGGAACGCCGCTAAGCACAGCCTGTCGAAACGAAAGACTGCTTCCCACACGAATACACTGTTCCCGTCCATCCAGAAAAGCTGACACCCACTGGAGAGCACGACCAGCTATTCCATACGACCTCAACTTCAGCGAGAGTCGCGAATGGGGGACAGTGTCAAAGGCCTTGGCGAAGTCAATGAACACCACATCCACCGCATGTCCACTGTCTACGGCTTCAGCCCAGCACTCTCGAGCTACCAGCAAGTTCGTCTGACACGAAAATCCTTTGCGAAAACCATGTTGCTCGACGCTAAGCAGGTTAAACCTACTTAAATGGTTCTCCACTGTATCTCGTACTATTTTTTCAAGTAACTTAACGACCACGCTAGTCAAGCTGACAGGCCTGTAATTAGCAGGTAGGTCTTTGTCACCGCACTTGAAAATCGGGCAGACAACAGCCTCCTTCCATTCGGTAGGCAAGATACAGCTGTTGAGTGACTTCTGAAACACACAAGTCAGAGGTCCACTGAGTTCCCCTGCCAATTCGTGCAACAATTTTGGATGAACAGAATCTGGCCCAGAAGCCTTAGTTGGGTTCACCTCTGTTAGCAACCGGAGAACTTGGGACTCCGTTACAGGAATTTCATCCAGACAACAGTCCTCAGGGACTCTTGGAACTAACTCTTTGCATGGCGTATTTGTCTCGCGGACAAAGACGCTTGAGTACTGCTTACCAAGCACGCATGCCTTGTCATAGTCGCTATAGGCATGGGTCCCATCTCCTCGAAGCAATGGTGGAATGGGCGAGTTTGCACCACAGCGTCGTTTAACGTAAGCAAAGAATCTCTTGGGATTTTTCGAAGCAGTATGAGCTAAGCCCTTTTCATACTGAAGCCGGGCCAACCTAAGATGTAGCTTGCACTCATTTCGAACCAACCGATATTTGTCAAACGTGCCATTTGACGGAGCTGTTCGGTAAGCTCGCCAGCATCTAGACCGCTTCTTTAGCAGGCCCTTCCCCGCGGAATCTATCCACGGAGGCTGCGCTCTCGATTCCCTTCTTTTTACCAGTGGGACGTGAGGTGCAGAAATGTCGACGAGGTGAGCCTTAAGCTTTTCCCAGGCTATATGAACAGTGTCGGTATCAGATATCACACAAGGCGATGACCTAGCTCTATCCCGCATCGCTTGGAAGTCCGCGGCCCAAATGTTCGGATACCAACTGGTAGTAGCTTGGCAAGACCTGATAAGAGCACACTGGAAAGACAAGCAAACGTGATCGCTAGCGCCAAGAGGCGAGTCATATTTAATGTCATTTACAAAGTCAAGTGACTTAGCAAAAACAAGATCTAAAATGGACGGCTGCTGATTGCTCATGTACCTAGTGGGGAGGTCCACGAACTGGTGTAGTGGTACCTGCAGCGTCAAGTCCAGCAGTTCTGTACCGAACGATTCCAGCGTCGAACTGCAAGATAGATCATCCCAACAAACATCTGGGAGGTTAAAGTCTCCCAGCACCAGACACTTGTTCGCAGAGTGAGTGCGTATAAAGTCAATGATTCCATTGGAGGTGCTCATAGGGCTTCTATACACTAACACAACCGTAACCTGAACCGAGGAAGCGCAAATCAAGACTGCGAGAGCCTCAACAGATTTGTCGAGAGACTGAAAAACGCTGGTCCTCAATACGTCGATGTGATAACTCACATAAAGAGCTACACCACCCCCTTGACGGCCAGTGGAGCGATCAGCGCGGAACAGTGCGTAGCCAGGCAGATATACTTCGCCATCTGTGATTTCCTCAGACAGCCACGTTTCGGTGAAAGCAAGTATATCTGGACGAGATTTGTCTACGAGCAGACCCACCTCGCACATTTTGTTCCTCAGGCTACGCACGTTACTAAGTACTACTTGGAGTGTTTCGGCCCGACCAGCCCTGGGTCGTGCGCAATTAGTATAGGTTCTGGCAGGGCGGAAAAGGACCGCCGGCTGACCACCTGAAAACCCACCAATCGGAGACCTTGCTCGCCAGCTGCACGCCGGGCTTTTAGGTCTCTGATGGCTTCCTTTAACTTTAACCTATCCGCTAACGGAAGGTCTGGTTGCACACTAACCGCGGTACCTTTGAGTTTGAAGGCAAATCTCAGTAAGGCCCTGCGCTCTTCTGGGGTGGAGAGGACCACCCTAAGCAAACGGGGTCGAGGATTTGGTTGACCAACCGTAACGTTCCCCAATCTGATGAGCTTCCTGACAGTAACGCCAGGGAAACCTGGTGGTAAAAGCCTGGTCACACAAACTTTAAGCCAATCAAGATCCTCAAGCATGCGCTCGGCAGGAAGAGCTGCAGTGGATTCAGTGACGTTTCTGAAAATCACACTGCTATCTGTGTAAGAATCGCCTCGACGAGGTGTATTTACACCACATGCTCTACCATCCACGCCATATGGTTGTCTGACGGGAATTGGTGAAACCGAAGGCGACGGCACCTCTTGTCTCACTGAGGGAAGTGCAACACCAGGTGGTGTTTTCAAAGCAGGCGCTTGCTTCTTGAGCATTTTGTCACCTTCCGGTTTGGGGGCGGAGGGTTTGCGCGCTTTCCTTACTCTCTTACGCTTATTCTTTAATGGCTCAGGAGCCCGTGATTCGCCTTCCATTTGGGGAGGGTCAACAATGCCGTCCGAGGCATCTGTGTCTGTCATATACACGTGAACAGGAGCGTCCGGTAGGATGAACTCCTCGTCAACGGTTGGACTATCAGCAGGACAGTCAGTTACAGCGTCCACATTCGCGATATTCAGGGATTTCATAATCAAATCCACTTTAGAATTGAGCGAGGCAAGTGAGGCAAGCTCGGCTAATGCCTTCTCGACAACTGTGAATCTGGACGCTAGTGCTTTGAATTCAGCACAGGTGAAAGCCGGGAGCTTCGCTTTCTGAGCGCAACAATCAGCACATCTAAAAAGAAGGCTTTCACTGGATGATAGCATCTTGTACTGATTCGCTCGGAGGCCGGTACAACTTTTGTGATACCAACGAGAGCAAATATCACACTGCATACCACCAGATGAATCTGTGACTGGCCTTGAACAGGCAGAATTGCTGCAAGGTGCATTTGACTCATCAAACGAAGACGCGAGGGCTTCATCCGTCCCGGTTTTTCGCGAGACGACCATATTGAAGTGGAAAACAACGCAGAATTTAAAAACACGTATACAACCGTAAAACTACCACAATAAAAAGGCAAAACAGGGTGTAAAACGGGATTAAAAAGGGAACAACCGCAAAATTACCAGTAAGCGTCAGGAAGACGCTTTGGCCAGTACCACTTTAGTCGACCCAAGATATCTTGGATCAGATGAAATTTGACAAGAGCCAAATTTCGTTTCAAGTGTTTATTCAAACACTGTCTTCCACGTTATTTCAACTAAAAATCTCGATCAGTATGGCACGCCAAAAAACCGAGTTACCGCGTAGCACTCACAGTAACAATCAATGGTCAGTAATGGTCGAAAGAGAAATCTCGACATTATCTATGCCGCTTGTTGTAAGTTCCGGGAAGTAAGTTATAGGGTCGGATTCTAGGTTCTTGGAAGCAGCAAAATATTGCTAAACGCTTCACAAACAGCAGGTAGGTCGTTAAGGTGGCGACCCTCCTCATCAATAAGTTCTGTAATCAAAGACATTTGATTGTTAATCCTACGACGGAGTAACTTGGCCAGTTCCTTTCCTTTGCATGTCATCTGCAAAGCGTTCTCCTCTTCCTTTTCAATCCGTTTGATTTTTGAGCGCATGGTGCAGGCGGTGGACTCGTGCAGCTGTAATACTGGTGGAAAGTCTCTAGTTTTTCTGAATTTTCCTAGTACTTTTCTCGTTTTCAAGTCATTCAGAGTGTCGCTTACAGTCATAGGACAAGGAATCGCACGTTTATTATGCGGGACATATACAGTTAGGATGTGATTGATGTGGTAGTGGAAATGTTCCACTGCTATGTGGGCGCTAGTGGAGAGAAAAACCCATCCCAGTTAGAGGACCGGATCTGCTTTCCGAAATGTTCCCAGTCCATCCTTCTTATAGTACGCAGGGTAGATGAGTCGAGTTTGGTATTCATTTTCAAGTGGATGGAAAGGCGTAGCCTGTAGTGGTCGCTACCCGGAAGGTTGGCTAAGATGTCAATTTGTGCGTCAGGAATACCAGGGTGAAGATTAAATCCAGGTGACAACTACCGCTGAGAGGAACATCGGGCATCCTAACTGTAAGCGGCCTGATTGTTTTGATGAGAACATTGCGACGATTGACGCATTGGTGTGTGAGAAAAATGCAGCGTTTACTGCACATGTGGCAGACCCCAGTAACTTGGGAAAGAAAAGTTAGTAACACAAACTTCGAGGACGACTGACCCGATAGCTTCGTCGCATTAAAAATGCATTATGGACAGAGAAGGCGAAGCAGATAGAATGCTACGCCTTCAGCGTTTTAAATAAATAAATAAATAAACGTTTTATTCCTCAGAAGTGCGAGACACAAACCAATTGGGTGGTCTTATCAACATGTACAACGTGATCGCATAATATAGTTTGTTATTCATCTTTTGATCAATGGTTCCCATATGGGTTTTTGAATTGATTAGCAGTTTGGAAAAAGTAGAGAGATAAAGAAACTGGAAACATTAATAAATGTAGATTTCACAGAAAGTTCAAGTAAAGTAATACGGTCATCCATGGAACTGTCCCCAGGGGAATTGCTTCCATGCAGGGAATTTCCACGATGGGTTTCACCCGCACTTCCATGCTCCAATTGGCTCTCTGCCTGTGTGGCAAGATAGTAAATAGTCCATCAGAACTAGGTATCAAATGTCTTTTTTAAGGGCTGTTTTATGCATACGTTATAGGCGATGAAGCCTCAGCTCGTTCTGTCATGCGGATCAATCAAGTATGGCACTTTTTGTTTTAAGCCAGCGAGTCAGTAGTAATATGGTTTGCATGGGTATACTTTTTATTGTGGAAGCTGTAATCCGTCACCACAAGAGATCAGCCCAGTCATGACCAACAGTGAAACAAAGAAGATAAAGTATGAGGAATTTTAAAACATAATGATGAATACAAACCCTTGCCGATAGTCCAGTCACAATTTGATGGAAAGTCTTGGCGAGTGACGACGATGGTACAGAGACATCAGCTTGAAACGCGCAGTGCATCTACGGACCAGTGCATCAAAGGAGAAAACAGAATTGGTTATACGGATTGATAGGAGTAAGATGGTTCTCAAATATATACTCAAGAATGCAACTATGTGTAGATAATCTTATATTATTGAAACTAATAGAGGATATGGCGACTTTCATATGTATCCAGGACCTTTCTCATACAAATCATCTACAGTCACTGTTTGGCTTAGTGTTGACCAGATAGTTGCAACAGTCAGGTGAATATTATTCATGCGTCTGAATTGTGGATAGGTAGTGCAGTTTCTACCACTCGATGGAAGTTTGTTCCATATTAACGCATATTTTACGAAGAAAAAGTTTGAGCGGAGCTTTGCACGAGACTTTGGTATTTTCACCGTGCACTCGCTGTTTCTTAGTTCATAGCGCATACGAGTCTGAAACTCGGGTTGTGACTGAGCAGTGTAGCTTAACCCGATTAGTAAGGGGTATAGAAGGCACAGATTAAGTTTGAGTATGCGTAACCATAGCGGCTCCAGATTTAGCGCCTCGCAACGCTCACTGTATGTCATAGTATTAGGCATGTTCAAAAACCTTTTTATGAATGATTGTTGAATGTTTTATAGTGCTATAATATCCACTTTTCTCAGATTATTATGCACTATCGCACAGTACTCAAGCTTCGGCCTAACACACATTTAAAGCTTGAAGCCTGGAATCCCACAAAATAAGAGTTCGACTTATATAGACGATCACTTTTCTGGCAGAAGCCTGCAAGAATATAACATGCTCTAAAAAATTAAGCGAGGCTGAATATCTTAGACCAAGGTCTCGGACTGCGCCACACACAGGAATAGGGGTATCGTTTAATGTAAGGATGTTCAGAGAAGGGCCACCGCCGTGGTATAATAGATTACTCTTGTCAGTGGCAAAGTGCAACTTCGAGGAGTTACTCCAGAGCTCCAATGCGGACAAGTCACACTGAATATAGGCTAAGTTAGTACTACATTGTCCAGGGGCGGAACAATACACAATTTTAACATCATCAGCGAAGTGTTAGAAGTGTTAGAAACCACCGCCTGCTTTTTCTACCTTGAAAGTTCGATGTCGACTGAGGAGCAGCTACACAATGAGCTGCGTATCCGAGTATGGAAGGCAGCGGAGGCATTCGGGAAGCTTGAGTACCGCGAGTGGAATAACCATCAGCTTAACGTTTGAACGAAGCTGATGATGTACAAATCCATGGTACTGTCCGTTCTTCTAAACGGTAGTGAAACGTGGACGATGAACCGGCGGGATGTGCAATATCTCGAGTGGTTCCATTAACAGTGCTTGCGACAGATTTTGCGCATCGGTTGGTGCGACAGAGTTGCAGCCACGGAAGTGTTGCCCCGTAGCGGAATGCATGCAGTGGACTGTATACTTCTGCTGAGACACCTGAGGTGGAACGGTCACGTGTGGCATATGGATTCGACGCGGATACCGAAGCTGCTGGTATATGGTCAGCTGAGTGTGGGGAAGCGGCATGTGGGGAAACCGAGACTTCGTTACCAGCACATGATCAAAGTGAGGCCTTCACGTTCTGATCTTGATTTCAGGTGTTAGGAATCGAAGGCGATTACTCGGCATGCATGGCGCGATCTGATCACGAAGGCTATTGCCGAGGTGAAGGGGGAAAGCCCTCGTGTATGCAGAGAAGAATCGGTAGCTGCGGAAGTGATAGGCGCCGATGGGTTGTACCCGATCCACGTCGAGCACATGGTGTTGAAACACATGAAGTTGCGGATGCCTGAGTCCGCAAGGCCTAGTGAGCCATGAGCAAGGCCACACGGAGCCAACACTGAAAAGACCATGGGTCCTGCTGAGAACGTAGGCAGTACCGTAGCAGCGTTGATAGATACGCTGCATTCGAGTTAATAACCGTGTGTTTACAGCCTGGGTCTCTTTATTTAAGGTGGTGGGTTTTCTATATCGTGGCATTTTTTCCTACGTAAACTATCTTATATTAACTTGCACAAGTCAACCAAGTAAGTGTAGTTAACTTCGATAACCTTTTCGCGTTTGTAGCATTTTCCTAAATTATATTTTCTGATTTCATGAAACTGCAGCGGCTATTTTGGCAAACGAGTAATTTCATGTGCCCACTTATTTAAGAACTATGTCGGCATATCTCTATGCATTATTTGATTTATTTTATTTATATTGTCATTTCAATTGACTGGCTGTTGCTTGATATCCCGTTGTGGATGCGCTTGCTGTGCATGTTGACAAAGTGTCTACCTGTATATTACTTACTACCTCGTTCATACTGGCCCCAGGAGACAGTTCGTCATTGATGCATTCGATGTTGTGCACAGTCTTCGTGGCCGTGCCAGGCTCAAATAATGGTTCCTTGCACTCAATTTGAAGCGGTCAATGGTTCAGCCGCCGCTTTGAGTGTTTGATTTGAAATAAAGCGTGCTTGTGTTTGCCTGTGAAGCAGTGTGGGCCGACTCCGTCGATGAAACTTGGCTCCCATCCGCATGTCCTCCGGTCTTATTCCTTCGGGTTTACACTGGATATGGGGTGTGTGTGAATGGACCTGTGGGTGGTGCAGCGCAAGCCACCCATGGTCCCTCTGTAGGCGCAGGCGTCCTATGGCAGGCCACAGTGACAGGCAAATCCGAAACCGGATGCCGCCAACCATATATATATATATATATATATATATATATATATATATATATATATATATATATATATATATATATATATATATATATATATATATATATATATATATAGGGATCCTGTGTTATTTGTTAAGCTCTCTCCATCATACAGCCATCAGATACCTAATCCAGACGCAGCACTTTTAATATTCGCCAGTGTGTTCGTGACAACTCGCCTTGCATGTGTGTACCGCATTTTTTGAAAGCTTGTATCCATCACCTTCGGAGATCGGCCCAGTCGTGCCCAACAGTAGTAGGAGGAAAATAAACAGATTGAAAATAATGAGGGCAAGTGACAAAAAATGAGGAGCTTTGGTCTGACGTTGTCTGATTTAGATTGTACCAATTATCACTGTTAACAGATAACCTTAGAAAGGTACCTAATTTCCAAAGGAATTTTCAGAAGAAATATTGATATGTCTCTAACCGTCGTAGGAGCTCAAAATAGGGAGATGGGTGATGCGAAATCAAGTTGTATTACCCTGAGCAATGTTGTATGTACGCAATATATTGTCTTCAGTAAGAGAGAGGAAGTTGTCTGCATTGTAAAGAAAGTTAACTGTCGTTCCAACAGTTGACTTGCTTGCGGTAAGAGAAGTTGATTTTAAAAAAA